TTTTTCATGGTAATAAGTTGCGTCGGCATAATCCTGGATATGGGCTGATAACAACAAATTTCCTTACGTCTCTTCGATTTCGCCATAAGAAAAGCTGTTACAAACTATGAGTTTGCGAAATTTTTACTATGGACATATCACACCTCCCTCTCTACCCCAACCACCCACCCACCCTACCATCCACCCTACCACCCATCCTTTTCCCTTTTCCATCTCTTTTTCTGTCTTCTTCGTTACGTCAAAGTTCGCGAGGAAAAGTTTAAACTTTCATATTAATTTCTACTAGTATTCGAAAGTTCGCGAGACGCGAAAGAAAAAAAAGAGAAAAATAGAAAGAAAAAAAAAAAAAGAAAAAATAAAAAAAATGGAAAAAAAGAAAAGGAAAGAAAAAAAAGAGGAAAGAATTGAAGAAACGAATGGGCGTTTTCTTATTTCACTCGTTTCTACTTTTCTCCTTTTTCCGCACGAGTTTTCATTCGAAATCCTAGGAGAACGCCGCAGGTGATATACGCGAGGCATTATAGTGCCCAACGGCAAATAAATTCTTTTCTTTCTTTTTTCTAACTCGACGTAAAAGAGAAGTACTCGTATCGCGACATCTCGAAAACTTTCTTCTTCTTCTTCTTCTTCTTCTTCTTCTTCTTCTTCTTCTTTTTCAATATATATACAAGCATTTCTCCCTTTGTTCTATGTAAGAATTTTTTCTATAGTAAAACATTGAAGAAAAAAGTTGATTTATATAATTCGTTTTTAATGTTGAGTTCGACGAGACGATAGAATTGAAATCATTAAAATCAAATCGGCATAATTGAAATTAATTCTAATACGAATTGTGATTCATTAGATACATAATCGATAGTTACGTGAAAATAATCTAACGAAGAGCGAATAATCGTGTACGTAAGTAATTATCCTATAATTTGTTTTAAAATCGAGAATTCAATGAATCTTATTGATCCGTTTAAAATCATAAAAAAAAAAGATTAAAAAAAAAAAGAAGAAGAAGACTAAAAAGAGACGGCAATGGAATCGGGGTTAATTGTAAAATGATCGACGAATGAAAAGAAATGAAAGATCAAATAATCAATTGTAACAAAAAGTCATTATTATTTGATAATTCGTTGTAAAATAATCGTAGTCGATGATCTGATCGATCTTGTGAAATGTCGGAGTATATAAAAAAAAAGAAAAAGAAGAAGACGTAAACACGCATCATTTTATGAATCAATGAATCAGTAGTAGTAGTAGTAGTAATAGTAGTAGTAGTAGTAGAAAACCATATTGGTCGGACGAAGCGGTCAAGTCTGTTATTAGTCGGGCAGATATTTCGTTAGTCCAGGAATCACGTCATAGTGGCCCTCGATGCCGTTAATTACGTTAACAACTACGGCTGACCGAAGATAGCTTGCAGGAGAATCAACCATCCCATACCGGTCTATATGTATCAGCAAAGTATCTCGAATTACACTTGGCGCGGCTTACTGCGTTGTTTTCATTTTGTTTTTTTTTTTTTTTTTTTGTTATTTTCTTTTTCATTTTTTTTCTTTCCTTTTTCTTGTTTTCTTTTTTTTTTTATTTCCGCCCCCCCCCAGCCCCCCATCGTGTATACACATTATGCCGGTGCACGCGCACCTCGTCGAGGCGCTCGTACGTTCTGAATTATTTCTCGTATAAACTGGGTCAGCTTTAAAATCGTTGCTTGTGACGCCTTAACTTATGCAACTGTGCGAGCATCCATGTATGTTACTTTCGAAATTTCTCGCGAAATTTCTTTCCCTTTTTTCCTTTCTTTCTCTTTCTTTCCTTTTCTTTCGTTTTGTTTTCCTTTCATCTATTAATTAGAAAGAGAAAGAGAGAGGGAGAGAGAGAGAGAAAGAGAGAGAGAGAGAAACGAATATTTCGTTATGAAAGTTTAGCAAAAGCAAAAGATATACGGGTATATTCTAAAAGATTAATTACAATCGTGTAATTTATAAAGCAACAAAGACAATTCCTCTCATAGCTTTGAAATTGATACACGAGAGAATGTAAAATATCTCGGGGCGATGATCGATATATATATATATATATATATTATATATAAGGTGTATATATATATATATATATATATATATATATATATATATATATATATATATGGTGTATTGCTTTTCAAATTTCTCACGTTCGCGAGTTTGCCGAGAGTTTGTCCGAGTTTGAAAATGAAACGAGTCGACTTGAAATAATAGTGCCGTTTCTGGTGTATAGTTGATAACAACAATAAGGATCACCAGCAATTTCTCCTTTCTCCCTCGAAGTTCTTACCATGAGATTTTCTTTATTCGAGGGTAAAAAAGAAGAAAATTAAAAGTATAATTAAAGGCATAAGAAAAGAAAAAGAAAGAATAAAACAAAAAGGAAAAAGGAAAGAAAGAAGATAATAATAACAATAATAATAATAATAATAATAATAATAATAATAATAATAATAATAATGTTATTTCCATGTTAAAATTTTCAGAGCTGGAGAAGCGGCCGCAGCCGCAGCTGCCTCGGAGCTCTGAGGAGCTGGAGGATCTGCACAAGCTGCTGCACTTCCCCGAGGAGGTGGCGCTCAGGTTGACGGAAATTGAGTATCAGCTATTTTATCAGGTACCACCGAACGAGTACCTTAAGCACGTCTCCCAGGATTCAATCGCGTTGCAAAAATCACCCGCGAGGCCACCCCCATCGCCGAGTCGCAGCTGCAGCAGCCCCAGTACAGCGAATAGCTCGACCCAGACAGAGGAAGAATCCTCTTGGCCCGGTGTTACAGTAATTTCTTCCGTTCAGACACTCATCAATCGATTCAATGAGGTGCCCTTTTCCTCTTATTTCCGCACAGTTTAACCATATTCGTTTATTGCTTCGTATATCGCAATCGTTTATCGTTGATCTATTTATCGGTTATCCTCTCATTTACTCGAAATACCAGAGAGAAAGAGAGAGAGAGAGAAAGAGAAAGTAGGAGATATATAGAGAGAAGGTGGGTAGAAGGAGGAAGGGAGGGGGGAGAGAGAGGTAGCTATCGAAAATGATAGCTCCATTGACCAATTTTTTCGGCCTTCAGCGTTCGCGCCTGCGCTTATGCCTCGCATTTTCAACGCAGCTGACGCTCTTACGCAAACACGCGCGAGAAATAATTTCATGGTCGAGTCTACTTCAAGGATCTTAGCTAAGATAGAAATGCTTGCCTCAAGAAAACCCAGTTATCGTTTGGTAAAAGCAATCACTCTTCCAACTATTTTCCATCGAATATGCTTATAAACACTTTCATAAAGTATTTTAAATTTTCCATTAAATTCACGAGTGTTTTTGCTCATAGCGATAAAGATCAATATTACATGCTTTTCTCTCTCTCTCTCTCTCTCTTTTTGTCTGTTTCTATTTCTATTTCTATTTCTATTTCTCTCTCTCTCTTTCTCTTCTTCTTCTTCTTTTTCTTTTTCTTTTTCGAAATAACACAGTGGATTAAATTTCGCACGCAGTCGAATACATACATATATATATATATATATATGCATAGATATATATATATATATATGCAAACGTAACGATGATACGTTTTACGAAAACGATCGATAAACGATGTGGTTCCACCATTTTGATTGTCCAACGATTACCATAATTCCATCCACGAGGCTGGTATCGTTCGATACCAGTAAGATAGAAATTTTCATTAAATCATGAATATGAATAACGTGATTAACTATTAAGCGATAAGATCGTATTAATTAGCAATGCGTATGTCGTACGATTGAATTTTCCTTTTTCTCCTTTTTTTTTTACTTTATTTATTTATTTTCTCTTTCTTTTTTTTTTTTTTTTTTTTCAATTTATAAATTCATTAACAGACGCATGAATAATAAGAGAAATATCGTGAATACGTTAAATCCAAATAAAAAATCGAAATTGAAATCTTTCCAAATTAATTTTTCTGATATTATGTTCATTACTTGATAGGTTAACTCATGGGTAACACACGCCATAACCAGCGGTACCACCGTAGAAGAACGTCAGGCAGTGTTATCTTGTCTTCTACGTGTAGCACTAACTTGTTGGAACACCGGTAACTTTAATTCGGCTATGGAGATTATCGCTGGTCTCAAGTAAGTAGATTAACAAGTAAAATGATATAAAAAAAAAAAAAGTTGCATTGATCAAATAAAATATCCTATATAATCGCTCGCTTCTCAATCTCTATCATCTTATAAATTTATAAATGTACGATTGAATATCGTAAAATATTTCTAATTTTATTATGTTAATATTAAAACGTCATTTCTATTGAAAAATTTTATCGGTAATACGGTATGTTAGATGTCGATAAACGTTGAGAATATATCCCAAGTGTTCTGCGAGTGTAATCCGATTTAGATGTTACCCCGAACTTTCCGCGATGTCATACCGTGTTACGACTTTGAGAGAATCGAGAAAGGACGCTTAATCTTTATCCCTTGGAATAATACAATTCCCACGTTTCAAGTTGCCTGATACGCAGTTGATATACGTTACGTTAACTTGACGATCCGAAACTTTAAACTTCTTCGAAGTTTCACAATAATAAATAATACGATAGGAGATGTAATTTTATTAACCTCTAGATCGTTTCATCATATTTTTATTTCTTTTTATCGAAAAGAAAAGAAAAAAAAAATATATATATGTGTATATATATATATATATATATATATATATATATATAATACTTTTAAATAAAAAGCATTTATAATATATGAGAATATACTTAAAATTGACGAATCCGACGTCTTTGAAAGTAAAAGAGTCAATTTTTCTTTTGAAGGGAAATAAGGATTTATGAATAGAAAAGAGTATTTGGCTTCGTTAATATTTTTCTTCAATTCAAACTTTCTTCCCTCGGTTTTTTTAATATATATGTATATTATATAGATATATATGTAAGATTCTACGAATACAGTAATTCGACTTTTCTCTCTCTCTCTCTCTCTCTCTCTCTCTCTCTCTCTCTCTCTCTCTCTCTCTCTCTCTCTCTCTGTCTCACACTCATTTTCTCTCTTTCTGTCTGACTGAGAAAAAAAAAGAAAGAGAGATAAACTTTGTCAAAGAAAACATATTCTTTTTGTTTTTTTGATCCTTTACATCGTTGTTCCATTATATTTTTATCGAAAAGATATAATGAACTTGTTACTTCTCATAGAAGTATCTATAAGATAAAAAGAAAAAAAAAAAAACCACAGTTAAAATCGATGATGAATCGATGTCTCCAAAAGAATAAAAGAAATTCAATTTTTCTTCAAAGAAAAATCAAGAAATTTATGAATAGAAAAATATAATTGGCTTCGTTGACCTTTTCTTTTTTATTAAGTTTGAACTTTCTTTCCTTGACTTATACACAAATAAACACACACACACACACACATACGTACACATACATAAGTACATCTTAATAAAGAATTCTACGAATTGAATAATTCGACTTCTTTCTCGAATAGAGTTAGTGAGATCGAGAGAGAGAGAGAGAGAGAAAGAAAGAGAGAGAAAGAGAGAGAGAGAAAGAGAGAGATAAGTAGAAACGATAAGAACAATTGGAAATTTCTTTTCGAAGTCGCGTTCTCGCGGAAAAGAAGATCGACTGGGTAAAATGCTTTACTCGCATCGCAGGTTCATGGGTTGCTAACGTAAAACCTTCCCCCATGCATTATTTAAGACAATGGGATGTCTTTTCCGATTCGTATCTCGTAGTTTCTTCGAGATCCTGAAGTGGCTTTCGCTAGACATCCATTATCTTCCTGAAAGCGAACGTATTTCGCGAAACTTTATCGTCCTCGAGCCCTAAAAACGTTTCCCTCCTTTTTCTTTCTTTCTTCCTTATTTTTTTTTTTTTTTTTTTTTACTATTCTTTTCTCCCTCTCTCTCTCTTTCTTTCTCTCTTTCTCTCTTTCTACGTGCTTTCGACGTCCCATTTTCGATCGGTCGAAGTACCTTACCATCTTTTGTTAGAACTCAACGAAAGGATAATCCGACGTAAATGAAATGATGGACGATTTTTTGAGATAAAAAAAGTAGAGATGGAGAGATATATAGAGATAGATAGAAAGAGAGAGAGAGAGAGAGAGAGAGAGAGAGAAAGAAGATGGAAGGGAGAAAAGATAGAAAAAAAGAAAAAGAAAATTTGCATATTTTTCCTTTCCATTTTTTATTTCCTTCTTGTTCTTCGTACAGTTTGAGAAAAACAGGAAGAAAAAAGGAAAAAAAAGAAAAAAAGTTTTCCTTTCGATCGAAGCCATTCTCGTGTGGCTAAGAAGTTTTTAATTTACGTCGAAGGGTTGAAAGCTCTAAGGACCACGCGAACGGCCTTGCTCGTTCGTAATTTCAATCTATACCTACACACACACACGCGCGCGCGCGCGCGCGTACTCGCACCCACGCACGTACGTACGCACACCCACACATTCTTTTTTTCTTCTTATTTTTCTTTTTTTTTTTTTTTTTTTTTTTGTTTCCTTTGAAATAAATAACGATTCTTCGGAATGTTCCAATTGGAACATTTTGAAAAATGAATGAAACGATTGAAGTTCTTTGAGCTTCGAAAAAAAAAAGAAAGAAAAAGAAGAAGTTGTAAAAAAGAAAGAAAAATTATTACAAAGAAATTATATCGTACTTCTATTACTTCGTTACAAAGAAAATCGATAATATAATACTTATTCTTCTCGGTTAATTTTTGATTGGATCGAACTGGAAGAATTTTATCGACAAGGTGTACTCATAAAAGACGACAATTATTATTTCTCTACGTATAGAATGAATCGAAAGTTTCTTAGATAATTTGAACAATCGATTACTCTTTCTCGATAACTTTCTTCTCTCTTAGTTTTCCTTTGCTTCTTTTTTTTTTTTTTCTTTTTTTTAGATTTAAAACTTGATAGTTCCGCAATCTGAAACGAAAAGGAAAGAAAGAAAAAGGAAAAAACAGAAAAAAAAAAAAGAAAAAAACAAAAAGAAAATAGAACAAGAAAACGAAACGAAGGAAAAAAAGTTAGCCGTAAAAGAAAAAAGAAGTCTGCCGAAAGAGTAAAAATTAATTTTTCAAATAGCCTATAGAAACTTTTGGCGCCTATCACTACCCACGCCCCCCAACACCACACCCTCGCCCCCCCCGCCCTCCCCCATGTGTATACATGTACGAAGAGAACTACCGTTCTTATCTCGTTCGATAAGGGATATTGAAAAGAAATAAGAAAAAAGAAAAAAGGAAGAGGAACAAAATGAATGAAAGAAAAAAGTACTAAGTGACGTTGGTAGAGAGGAAGGAGGCGAAGGAGGAGGGAAGAAGGAAGAGAAGAAGGAAGAAAAATAAGAAGTAATAGTAGTACTAGTAATAGTAATAGTAATAGTAGTAATAGTAGCAGTAATAGTAGTGTTAGTAGTAATAGGTACTATATGCCGTTTGCATGCAATTTTTTGAAAAGTAAGTTAAGCTAGCGTCGAAGTTTTGTTACTTCTCATTCGACATCGTTCTTCGACATCATAGGTACCTTACTCTTCTGTTACCCTTAAGAAACTTTCTTTGGGAAACCACAGATCTCTTGAAAGTTTCACGAACAAGTTAGAGAAAGAGTGAGAGAGAGAGAGAGATGATTATAGAGAGGGATAGGTAAGAGAGCTTTGGTGAGATCCGCGTGTAGATTAGGAAGAAAATTGTGGCACAGCTCGTAAAGGGGTTTAAAGGGATAGCTAGAAAAAAAAAGAAGGAAGGAGGACAGATAGAGAAAGAGAGAGAGAGAGAGAGAAAGAGAGAGAATGTAAGAGGGATGGTGAGAGGGAAGAGGTAAGAGAGAAGAACGCCGAGTGGGCCTTTTCTCGTAGAAAAGAGAACCTTAATGGCTATTCTACCGGATGTTTCTTGAATCGTCCGTTCGTGGCTTCCGTGGCTTTCCAATAATGGAAAAGCGTCATTTGTACTAAAGAGAAAATGGAATCCGAGTTGTTATCACCCGACTTTTGTTTTGCTTTTTTTCTTTTTCGTTCTTTTTTTTTTCTTCCCTTTCCAACTCCTTCCATCTAACATCCCCTATTTCACCTTCCCTCACCCCCCTACCCCACCATATTGATATATCCCGTATCAACTCATTGTTATCATATGTCTGTATACAAAGAATAAATTTGAGAAAAATTCTTCTTCCCTTTCTGATAATAATAATAATAATAGTAATCACAAAGCAATAGTACGTCAAAGATAAATCTCATTTTGCTCGGTTTTCAAGGCATGAGGCAATAGAAGTAAAAAAAAAAAAGAACAAATAAAAGGAAGAAAGAGTAAAAGAAGGAAGGAAGGAAGCAAGGAAGGAAGAAAGTAAAGCAAGAAAGAAAGATAGATAGATAGATAGATAGATAGATAGATAGATAGATCGATAGATAGAACGGATTGTATGCTCGAATACTGCAATCTCCGAAGGTTGAATTTAATCTTATTCGTAAAGAACAAGAAAGGTCGCCGCAAGGTATTCCCTCTCTCTCTCTCTCTCTCTCTCTCTCTTTTTTTTCTTTTTACTGTAAAAAAAAAAAAAGAAGAGAATTTATATATACGTTCTTGCTTCTTTATCATGGAATACGAGGTGCGAATCGCATTGGCAAGAATGAAGATGAAGAAGAAGAAAAAGAAATAGAAGTAGAAGTAGAAGTAGAAGTAGTAGTAGAAGAAAGTTTTTCGCGTGTGTGTTTGAGCCACTTAACTCAAATAACTTAAAGTATCTTCGACGATCCCGTAGACGTGACGGTAGACGTTCCTAACGGCGAGTGTCTTAGGAAGCCTGACGAACGAGGAAAACTATCGTAGAGGTTAAAACGTGAGGTTGTTACCGGGGGAAGAAAAAATAGGATACGTTTTCGAAAGTACACGAAACTTCACGGATCTTAAAATATTTTATGTACTTCCTTTACTTTATTTTTTTTTTCTTTTCTTTTTTTTTCTTTTTTTTTTTTTTCTTTTCCTTTTCACTGCTAAAAATTCTCGAACCGTACCTCCCAGTTCCTCTTCCTTCCATCTCCTTTCAGTACGTTCCACTTTAAAATCCATATTCGTCCATCATTGGAGAAGGTCGAAACGTACAAGGGAAAAAAAAAAGGAAAAGGAAAAAAAGGAAGAAAAAGCAAAAAAATAAAAAAGGAGAGAAATATTCTGCGCGCTTTGATAGTATTTCGAAGCGAGCGAATAGAACGCGATAAAAATTTTCAGGAGGAAAAAAGAACGTTCCCTTGGCGTTTAAGTGGCAAAGATAATTCTTTAAAATTAGGAATTATTTAAAAAAAAAATAAAAAAATAAAAAATAAACGTTTAAACGAATAGACGAAATTGATCTCAAAATGTAATCGAAAGATTCATTTTTCTCGGATGTCCATGATACTTCTGTTAAAAGGCGATGATAAAATGAAAACGAAAGAAAAAAGATAAAAAAGAAAATCACACACGTATAGAAAAAAAAAGAAAAAATAAAAATGAAACGATCCTATACACGAACGAATATCTTATTGCATACATATGTACATATATGTGTTTCATTATAATCGCGATGAGAGAATCTATCTATAAATATATAAATTGAATACAATTCATTTTTGATTACAGATCGAACAAGCTAAAGCCATTTTGGCCAAGCATAAGCGAGCCAATTCCGGTCTTGGAATATCTTGCCTCCGCCCTTTTGTCTTCCGAGTACGAGCATGCGTTAGCTCGTGCTCTCGCAATGCCGGAATGTCCAGTGGTGCCATTTTTTGGTGCCTTTTTGCGAGAATTAAGAGGAGTCATTGCTACCGAATACAAGGTGAGAAAGATAATATTATCTTCCTAATCATTAATTACCGATCTTTTTCTCTTTCTCAATTATCTTATTTCTTGTCTCAAAGGATTAATGCTCGAACATCTAACACATTAATAAAATTCGTTCGAGTTAATAAAAGCGGGGAAAATGTTTTTGGATCTACTTTAGTTGGATATACGATAAAGATCGACGTGATTAAAAGCTTCTAGTAAAATACGAAAAGGAAGGTGGGATCGTTCGTCGTATTTACTACGAAATAGGAATCACGTAGTTCCCCTCGTCTTTACCCTCTGTTAAACCCCGTTGAACTTTCGTGATTCTCGAGCGAACTAACTTCACGTAGGAACTTCGAAAATCTGAAAAATCGTTTGATAAACTAACTGAACTCTTTTTCGTGCTAAAGTAAAATATAAGCTTATTTAACTATATATATATATATATCCATTCATGTATACCTGATGTACATACATACATACATTACTCGTTCTCTTTTGTAGCATCGATGAAAAAAAAAAAGAAAAAAGAAAGAAAAAAATAAATAAAAAAGAAAAAAGAAAAAAAAAAGAAGGAAAGAAAATGGCAAAAGAACGAAATTGTATGTTTACTTGCATAATACATTTTATGTTTGACCAATACAACAGCATGATCACACTCGTCGTTCATTGTCAAAGAGGAAACGTTTTCTAAGCAAAGTAACTCCGTCGGTAAGATAACTTCGTTCTTTATTTCGTCGCTCGAGTTATTTGATCCTTCGTATCGTACACAAGGGAGAGGCAAAAGAAAAATAGTGATAAAGTGTAAAAGGACGAAAAGCACGAGAGTTCAATCAAAGTCAGATGCTTTCACCTACGAATACGCGATAGTTCTTTGGAGATTCGCCAAAGGAAACCTTTTACCAATAACAATTCATACATGACAATTCCTTGTCCTCCTCTCTTGTTGGAAAAGTCTTGAAAATCACATTAGAAAAAAGCTATTGTGTACGTGTTTATATATATATATATATATGGATCTATGTATTTATATATGTATGTATGTATATCCTTTCGCCTCTTTCTATACGATATATTTATACTATACTTACAATATACTATACCCATACATATCTATACTATAACTAATACATATACAATAGAAGCCTGATAATCATTTTGTTTTTTTGTTCAATGATATGAATAAAATAATACTCATTTTGAGATATCCTAATCCCGAAATTAGAATCTTTCGAAAAGTTCTATTTCCAAAAACTATGTAAGAAAAACTTGTCGAGAATAAGATAGAGAACAATAGAAAGAGAGAGAAATAGAGAAACCGAGAGAGAAAGAGAGAGAGAGAGAGAGAGAGAGAGAGGGAGAATCTGCCAAAGTAGCTTTTCTACAACGAAAAGGGGATAGGTAACGCGCGGCCGCAAAACAGAAGATCGATTATCACTGCGTGTTCGATGTTTCCTGGCAGCACGTCCCTGGAAATATAGAGAGACCATACCTTTCCATTCTCTTTGTGACGTATTTTATATCAATTTACATGTCTCTCGTAGATTTGACATATTATCGTTTCTCTCTTTAACTAACTAACGAACGTACGAACGTATGAACGAACAAACGAACGAACGAATCAGTCAGTTTTTATATATTTTCGAGTATTGTCCTTGTCATCACCAAACAAATGTAAAATATCATTCGATCAAACGTTCGATCGTTTATTGACAGAAAAAAAATATGATACATTATATAAAGAGGGAGAGAGAGAGGGAGAGAGTAAGAGAGAGAGAGAGAGAGAGAGAGAGAGTAAGAGAGAAGGTTGACACGAAGAGTGTGCTTACTTCTATTTTTCCAAGAGAGAATATTCGAAAATGGATGAGATTAAAATCACAAATCGTTATTTGTATTGTACTAATATTATCTGTTCCAATTTTTCTCTATGTATGTACGTGGATAATAATACATCTCGATCAATGAGTTCTATTATTAACGCAGCCTTGTCGCTTTTACAAATTGACGAGCATCATGGGAATTAGTTATATAAATGCCTATAAAGCGGCGTTTATTTATTTTTCTTTTTATTGTTTTGTTTTCTCTCTCTCTCTCTCTCTCTCTCTCTCTCTCTCTCTTTTTTCCTTTTTCTTTTTCTTTTTTCTTTTTCTTTTTTTTTCTTTTTTTTTTTTTGTTAAATAAATTAGTTCTATGACATGTGGGATATATTATGTATATATATATATATATATATATATATATATATATGTAAAAAAAAGAATAAAAAAGAAAAAAGAACAAAAGTATAGAAAAAAGAAATTCATTTTCAATCAGATTTTTCTTTTCATTTATTTTTTCTTTTTTTGGTTCTTTTTTTGTAATTACATTCATTATCAAGAATTATATTATTATTATTATTATTATTATTATTATTATCATCCTCATCAGCAAATGTAATTATCCTCAATGTTCGTTACATTCAAAATTAATTCTGTGGAAATGACGAACGATCGAGAATCGTTAGTAACAAAGAAGCGAAGACAATTTTATTCTAGTATTTAAGATATCGTTAGAAAATTAACAGAGAAAGGTCGGTAATGTGTCTGTCGATGGCAGATACTATTAATCTTCGAGACATTTCAAGCTCGTTTCGAACGAACTAGGCTAGTTAGAACAATCTAATTATGCACTTTATAACCTCTTCTCTCTC